CCAAGAAAAGGCTGCCAGAGAAAATTCAGAGATGGTTAATATGACTAACAGTACTTTTCTTCCTCTGTCCTTTATCTGTGTTGCTCACCTGTAAAAAGCCACCTGCGTTTCTCATGTGAAAGCTATGGAATGTTGAACATCCTCAGCAAAATCCTTGAAGGTCCTTCATATGTTTATGCTTTGCTCAGCCAAAATAAACTTGTACACTGACCTTGCAAACAGATGCCTGGTAATGAGGTCACAGAACTGAGTAACATTTTCAGAAAATTGCTTTACGGTATAATAAATGTTCTGATTAGATTCCTATTTTCATCTTTAACATGCTCAGGTGGTTCAACCTGGGAATCCTAGTCAGGGGTATTACCAATCTTTAAAGGTCACAACCAAGAGTCCAGTCATTTTTAGCCTGAAAGATATTTTTAACAAACTATAGGTTGTAAAAATCTTTAATTCTCAAGCTTTACTACTGGCTTTCTTGAAGTTTCTCCTTAAAGTTGACCTATTTCCTCTATCAGTTTCAATTTACTCATTAGTGTAAGTGTCTGGTTCAGTGATTTCTTCCATCATAGTGCCTTTCTTTGACATCTCCAGAGATGAAACTAATTTCACTTACACGAAAATAGGCACAGTACAACTTGAGGCAAATAGTGTTAACATAATGCTATGTTCAGCATATTTAATGACTATTTCTAATGAATAAAATCCAGGATGGCTAAAGCCAACATACACTGTGTTCATGCTGAGGATGGCAAGGGCTACCTCACACACAGTGATCTTGATAACAAAAGGACCGCCACATCACAAACGAAAAGGGAAAGTTCCAAAATGAACTCAAATTATGGGACATGTGTCTGATTTGCAGTGGTAACTTAGATGATTCCTATGTTCTCTATTTCCTGCCTTTGAAGTGGTGAGGTGGTTTTATGATGCTAAATATACGGATAAAAACAAACAATGAATCACACAGAAGAAATGCTTTTATAGCCTTTCTGAAGGAAAGCATTTCTGTGAGTTAATGCTTATTTTAATAATGGGAGGGCAGGGGGAAAGCTCTTAGCAACCCAAGATGAGATACAATTTTCAGTTAATGAAAACAGACACTTAGCTAGAGAGCAGCCTGTGAGAGTAGGGACTGTGTCTGTCTTGCCCACGGCTACATGCCCGGCACCTGCCATATAGTAGGCATTAAACAAACCGATGTTGAATAAATACAAAGGATGCTAAACACTGATCACAGCAAAGGAGAAAATAAAAATAAAAGAGGGGAAATAAGGATAAGATAATATAGTGGGGATTTCTGATTCCCCACAAAGAGGGTTTGGAAGTAGTAACCGTATGTCCAAGTAAAATAAATATCCCATGAAATGGTCATGGTATGTAGAAAGGTGTCTCACAGAGTAGCAGGACTAGAAATGACATTTTAAGTGTTAAAGTGAGGAGGAGGGGTGCCTGGTTGGCTCAGTCATTAAGTATCTGCCTTCGGCTCAGGTCATGATCCCGGGGTCCTGGGATTGAGCCCCGCATTGGGCTCCCCGCTCAGCGGGAAGCCTGCTTTTCCTTCTCCCACTCCCCCTGCTTGTGTTTCCTCTCTCACTGTCTCTCTGTCAAAAAAATAAAATCTTAAAAAAAAAAAAAGTGAGGAGGAAAACAGGATTTGTATGCTTTTCTGTTTCCCAGAACAATGTTCTAAAATGTCCGTATTTTCTAAGCAATGTTTCAAGCTGAAATTTGATTTTTAGTTTTTATGCCATAGAATCATACTGAATGATGCTTTTAAATATGTAAAATTTAGAAAGCATCCTCTTGGGGAGTATAAGACCTGTACCAGTTGACCCCTGAACAACGTGGGGGTTAGGGGCATCAACTCACCAGGCAGTAAACAATCTGTGTCTAAGTTTTGACTCCCTTGAGATTTAACTAATATGCCTACTGGTGACTGGAAGCCGCACTGATAACACTTGATTAACACGTACTTTGTATGTCATATGTATTGTATGCTGTCCTCTTATAATAAAGTAAGCTGAAGAAAATGTTACTGAGAAAATCTTAGGGAAGAGAAAATAACATATATCCAGTACTGTACTGTATTTATTGAAAGAAAATCGGTATCTAATTGGATCCAACAAGTTGAAACCCTTGATTGTTCAAGGGTCAACTGCACTTCATTTGTGAAGTCAAATAAAGTTAAATTTTATAACAAAAGAAAGCAATAAGCTTTCTTGTTCTCCTGTCCACCCTCCTGCAGGCACCATTAAACCCTCTACTTTCCTGTCTGGCAGGTGAGGATTTTCTCTCTTCCAACTCCTTCTCTCCTTCCCCCACTTTCCTGATAGAGCAAAATCACAGTTGTTCAATCTACAGTCTGTATTCTCAGGATTATGATGTACATGCTGTTTGCTGCGGGGCCGAGTCATGCTCCATTATTATATTTCCTTTCTTATATAACTTTATTTTCCAGAGCTAACAATTATCCCATTTTTAAAGTATTCATTTGATTAGTTGTCCTTTGCCCTCTGTCTCAACATTGCCTCCAGCACATTTTTCATGGTGTGTAGTGTGTCTTCTGACGGGTCAGAGCATGTACTGACTAGTTTAAGTATCATCCCTGTGTCGGATTAAACCTATTAGATAGTCTCCTCCCCGTGCTTTTCCCTGAGATCCCTGTCCTGGCACCCTGCACCCATCACATCCCATGTTGGCCACGTGCACTCTGGACTTGCACGTTTGCACGTTCATCCTGGGAAGAAGTCCTGTCACCTTCCTTCTGTGTTGGACCCCCTGTCTCCTAGATCCTGTGGGTTTCCTTTTTCAAGGACTAGTCCCTAATTTTGGCAGGGCACATCTACCCTGAAAAAGAACACAGAGGAGGTCAATTTTGTGACTTTGCATGCCTCCAAAAAAAAAAAAAAAGATTTATTCTAAGCTCACACATGACTGACAGCTTGACTCTTAAAGAATCTGAGGGTGAAAATGATTATGTTTTCATGGATGGTATTATTCTTTGGTCTTCAAGCTTCCATTGTCACTATTTAGAAATTTAATTGCCATTCTGATTCTTGATCATCTGAATGTGACGTACTTTTTATCTTTGGAATCCTTAAAATTTTCTTCCTTCTTTCTTGTGTTTTGGAATATTCCAATGACCTTGCTCACAGTCGGTCTTTTTTTTTCATCCATTGTGCTGGGTACTTAGTGGGCCTTTTCAATCTAGAGACTCATGTCCTTCAGTTTTGGGAAATATAATTGTATTATTTCTTTGATAACTGCCATCTGTGGTCTCTTGTAGAATTCCTACTTGTTGAATATTAGATCTCTTGGATGCTCTTTTATAGTACATGTGGAAATCAGGCATGTATTTTCATTAAGCAAGAAATAAAAAGCAAATCAACTTTTTTAAAAATGGAAAACAGTCCTTCACTAAGATGAAAATTTTACTATTTAGTATTTGTTTATATCTATACTAATAAAAGAAAAAGCCTTTCAAAGCCAAGTAACAGGCAAACTATACTTCACTACAGTGCTGATAGTTAATAATCATTAATAATACAGTTGTCTTACACGGCTAGGGCTGCACAGTTAGTAGGTTTCCACTTATTTTTTTTTTTTTAAGATTTTATTTATTTATTTGAGAGAGAGAGAATGAGAGATAGCACGAGAGGTAAGAGGGTCAGAGGGAGAAGGAGACTCCCTGCCGAGCAGGGAGCCCGATGCGGGACTCGATCCCGGGACTCCAGGATCATGACCTGAGCCAAAGGCAGTCGCCTAACCAACTGAGCCACCCAGGCGCCCTCCACTTACTTTTTAATGCAACACTTCTGGGTATATAATTTGAATATAATTTTGATTTTTAATTTTGTTGATCATATTAACTGTACTTGAGCCAAAGATCACTCTGAAAATTAAGGATCATTCTGGAAACCCCATTTAACATTTGACATCCCTTCACCATTACTATTATATAGAATCACCACTTAATTACTTAATTAGAATATTTATTCCCATAGCATTGGTATTTTGGTTCAAGATAACCAAGTTGAAAAAGCCTAACTCAAAAGCTGGAATGCTATTTAATCTCAATTTAACTTAATAGCAACAAACTCAAACTTTCACTTGAGAGAGAGAGGGAGAGACATGTATATTAATGTTCATTGGAGTCCTACTATATTTTGGCAACCACTGTGCTTTTGTATATCCTCTCACAGACAGCAATATTCTCCCATGTTATACACGAAGCAACCGGGGAACACAGAGGTTAAGTAAATCACCAACAGTTATTTAGAAAGTCACACTCAGCATTTTCTGGATCTGAAGCCTGTTTTCTTTCCATATACTACACACCAAAATCAATTATGCTACGGTATTTAAAATAAACCACATTAAATACTACATGCAAAGAAATCCAAAAGCCATAATGTGAGTTTTCACAGAAGGCATACACTTCACTTACAAAACACAACACATGACATTAGTAACTGGCTAAGTAAAATCTCAAGTTTTAAGAACAGAATTTTTTCATGCCTTATTTTGAATAATCAGTTACCTCAAATTGGTCGAAGTAGGGGTGCAGGAGTAAGCCAGAAATCCTACCAAGATATTGCCATCGAGAGAGAAAGAGAGAGAGAGGGAGAGAGAGAGAGAGAGAGAAACACCAGAGACGGGGAAAGAAAGAATGGGTCATCTTTACTAAAGGTGATTTACTCAACCTTATTTTAAGGTTATAAAGTAGGAAAATTATGACAAAATGACATCTTCAGGTATGTCTTTCTATATTAACTAGCTCTCATTTTGTGATCAATTAAGACTTTCAAAATATTGAGTCGTTACAAAAAACATGCGTTAAAATGTTTTTTAAATTATCCCCTTGTTCTTGCCAGCATTACAAAAATAAGCCAAAAGCAAAATTCTGCCAAAATTTTATAATGATCCAGAATATAAAGCCACCTGACTTTGTCCCTTGGCTTTAATGTGACACTGGGTAAAAGACGGAACTGCACAGTTACCTTCACTGCTGCAGTGACTGCAGCAGTGGCTGCGAAAGCCAGCCCTTGCCGGCCGAAGCTGACCACGGTCTCGTAGCCCCGCTCCTTGGCTTGGACGATATAGTCATCAATCTCCTGGGGAGAGACAGACAGACTCACAGGTAGTGTCAAGAAACCAAAAACGACGACCTTCCCCCATGAGATGATAGTTTCACTCGTTTTATAGCGCAAACCATGCGATGATGTACATTTCTAACAAACGATTTATAGAAATGATTTATATATCTTACCCTTTCCTTGGAAGAAAGAAGTGGATGAAGGAATTTTCTATATATTAAACTTGCTCCTTTGGTATAGGGAGAGAGCAGCCACACGACAAAGGCAATCTTAAGCTCATAGTACAGGGGGAACCTAACAAGAACAAATTTGAAAAAACTGCGGGTGAAACTAAAGTACAATGAGGAAATCGCACACACACACACTCGCATGCATGCACGCATGCACACAAGCTTTTAAGAAAGTTCAATCACCAAGTTTTCACATGTAAGAGTGAGTGATTAACAAAAGAACTATGTTTGAATTGACTTAATTTCATTAACTACAGATGAGTTCTAAGCAAAGAGGAACCTGATCCCTGCAGAGATTCAGCAACTTCTAGTACAAGATTCTTCTGTTGAAGAGACCACAGGCAAGCTGCCAATGGACTGTAGCCGTCCAGAGAGAACATTAATAGCACGTACCCAGGGAGGTGAGGGGCACCCCCGACCCTTCCGCATGTCGGTACCTGACATCTCTCCATGCACCAGGACTCAGCTTTACATGCTCCAAGGGCACAAAGTTACCCCATGAACACATCTCCTTCTCTTTCTCAGAAGCCCCCCAAGAACTTCCCTTCCAATCTCATTTGGCTGGAAGTGCGATGCTGGGCAGACAATGATTCACTTGTAAGGGGAATGGAATTCCCATGTGGTAGACTGGGAACGAACGTTATCCACCCATGCACGCCCCTTTCCATGTGACTCTGCAGCACTCTCTCTCCCTGTAGGCTGAGTACACTTCCTCGAGCAATGACTGCGGGTGTAGACATGTGCCTTGCTTTGGCCAACATCACGTGAGTCTGACATACCCCATGCACGTAGAAGCTTTAAATGCCCCTTGACTTCCTCACCCCGACACCCCCAACCTCTTGCTTTAAATTTTTACTTTCTGCCATGAGAACAGCTGCTTCTTCAGTCTTGGTCCTGAAATGAGAAGACACTTAAAACTGAGCTGAGCCCGGCAAAGCTGCAGCCAACCTTTCCCCTTAAATAACCTGAGCAAGAAATATGGGTTTGTTGTTCTAACTCACTGTGGTTAAAAGGGTTGTCTATTGCCACAGCAAAGGCGAACTAATATACCGTAGGGGACTAGCATTCTTGGGCCAGGAATTATTAAGATACGTGATGTGTGGACAAATCTGGGCTCTCCTGATGAGGCAGAGGGGTACAGGGCGATAAGGAATGACTGCTGTGGGGTCAACAAAGGTCAAATTGCACCAATTGCCTGGTGCAATTACAGAGGAGTTTCTGGACTTCCACTGTTCCTGGTAAACTTTTTCTACATTATTTGTTTTTTAATAATGTATATATGCTACATCTGCGATCAGGAAAAAATGAGGTCTTTAAAAAGAGAACCTTGAGGGCGCCTGGGTGGCTCAGTCGTGAAGCGTCTGCCTTGGGCTCAGGTCATGATCCCAGGGTCCTGGGATCGAGCCCCGCATCGGGCTCCCTGCTCGCGGGAAGCCTGCTTCTCCCTCTCCCACTCCCCCTGCGTGTGTTCCTGCTCTCGCTATGTCTCTCTCTGTCAAATAAAAAAAAAAAAAGAGAGAACCTTGAAACTTAAAAGAGACCTAGCATAGTTTGACATCTGTTCTGCCCCTTAAAACCAAATAAAAAACCCTCCCCCAAAACTCTACACCAAACACTTAACAGGAAAATGAATGAGCTTTGGGATACAGCAAGGACAAGTTTTGTTTCAAATCAGAAGAGAAAGATGGGTGCAGACACAGAGAAGTTCATAAATGAGGGCAAGTGTTAAGAACATGTAAGTCTGATGACTTCTCTATTTTTTCTAGCAATCCAAGGTGACCTAATGTGCTGTGAGAGTATGATGAGAAGAGCAAAGCCAGAAAGACAGTTTAAGGAGAGAACAGCAAGTGCCTGAAACAGATGCAGGAGGGCATGGAGGCAGCGAGTAAAGGGAATGGGGAGGTTCAAATTGATACCTATATGAGCAACTGGCTGATGTTCTGGGGGGCTGCCTTTGGGAGCCCAGGTAAAGAAGCAAAGTATTAAGTTTAAAGATTTTATTTATTTTTTTTAAAGATTTTATTTATTTATTTGAGAGAGAGAGAGAATGAGAGAGAGAACACGAGAGGTCAGAGGGAGAAGCAGACTCCCCGCTGAGCCGGGAGCCCGATGCGGGACGCGATCCCGGGACTCCAGGATCATGACCTGAGCCGAAGGCAGTCGCTGAACCAACTGAGCCACCCAGGCGCCCCAAGTTTAAAGATTTTAAAAGGAGGACTTCTCCAAGTGATGGTAAGGTCTAGATGGAAATGCACCAGTGAAATATGGCACAAGGAGATTCAAGTTGTTCCATTTGGTATTACTTCTTGGTAAAATGTTAAATCCTTGAGGATATAAACATGTTTTAATTTTGTCTCAGCTATTTGGAACAGAGCAGCCAAGGAGCTGGTGGTGAGTGGGCGTCCACGTGGATGCTGACGTCATCCGGTCTGAATGTTTGTAGTTGAGAGTTTTAAGGATGGGGAGGGAGTGCTAGAACCAGATGCTGTGGGCTTCAGAGGGGGAGTCATTTAGGAAGTGATAAAGAAAAATAGCCTGAAGTCATCGTGTGGAAAAAGGATAATGACTACCAAGTTTTTCTATTCCAAGATACTGGGACCTGTGTGGGAGGAAGGCAGGGAGCAACACCCGGGGAGAAGAATGAGCTGCCTTTATCTGAGTGGGACCTGTAAGGAAAGTAATGTTCTTACAGGGAAACCAGATGAAGAAAATGAAACACTGGAAATTAGGTAACCTGATCAAATTCACTTGGTTACCAGCAAGAGCAGGGTAAGAACTCGGGACAACTGATAAGGAGTCTATAGTCTGGCCCTTTCTCAGTGCTAGAACTTACCAAGCGACTGTTTGATCTGTTACTGTTTCAATCACAGTATAGAGAGCAAAAACAATCCAGTACATCATCCATCGGACCTGGAAATAATAAAAATGCTTATGAAATAACAGACTAACATTATTTGCAACTCTGAATAATTACATATATATTTTTAGGTATACAGCATGCTGGATCAAATGCAGAAGGTGATGGTTTAATTCTCAACAGGTTTATGTCGGCGTTCCTGCCATCACTACATCAACAGTCTTGGGATATAAGACGAAAATCTAAGAATAACAAATCTCTATCCTGACACAATATAATGTAGGAATCTGAATGAAAGAATCAGAACAATAGGATATATTTTTCTTAAGTGGAGGAAAGTTCTTTAAAAGATCTTATTCTTACCTACATGCTGCTTTATGATGACGATTAGCTATTAAGTATGTAATAACAGCATAATGATATGATTGCATTTAATCTTTAATAGTCTTTTAAATTTTGCATTCCTTAATTCTCAGTATATAGAAACTGTTCAGGAACCAAAGAACAACCCTGTGTATGTTACCTCCATAAGGCTGGTGCCCCAGTTTGAAAGTCGGTTACTGTATTCTTTCCCCCTGAAGCTCCTTGTACACCTGTAACCTCTCACACATCATTTCCTTCTTCTATCAACACCACAGTGGTCACTGCAATTGAGTGAATGTTTGTGTACTCCCCCTCAAATTTGTATGTTGAAATCCTAACCCCAAATGTGTACTAGGAAGTGGGGCCTTTGGGAGGTGATGAGGTCACGAAGGTGGAGCTTTTAACTCATAAATGGGGCTAGTGTTCTTCTAAAAGGGCCTCCAAAGAGATCTCTCATTCCTTCCACCATATGGGAACATAGAGAAAATAGCCATCTATGAACCAAGAAGTGGGTCTCACCAGACACCAGACTTGCCTTCATCTTGGACTTCTAGCCTCCAGAACAATGAGAAATAAATTTCTGTTGTTTATAAGCCACCCAGTCTATGGTACTTTTGTTACAGAAGTCTGAATGGACTGAGACAGTTCAGGACATTTTTACCTCTTGCCTGGAATATAGCATCCTAACTGGTCCCTGAGACTCCAGTGTCTCTTTGTATCAATCCTTTTCATAGAAAGCTGCCAGATTTTTTTCTTGAACTCATTTCCCCTACTATACCTTTCTACCTACCTGAGCACGTAGACTCTCTTCATCACAGGTTGGATTTTCATTAAGGATTAAAATCTCTGATCTTGCTTAATATTATAATAATGGTTATTATACAAACCTATGCCAACTAGGCATAGGTTTGTATAATAACCTTAGTACAATCCCTCCCTAATAGGTTAGGGATTGTACTAAGTGCATCACCTATTAAATCATTTACTCTCCACAACAATACTACAAGGAAAGAAACATAATTATTTCTACTATAGATAAGGAAATAGTGACAGAGAGGTAAAATGACTTGTTCAAGGTCACGTAGCCAGAATTTGTAATCCAGGCTGCCTGACCCTGGATTTGGTGCTATTAATCAATTATACTATGTAGAGACAGAATATGTGAGGATTTGCTAAATGTGAGATCCAAGAATAACTGCTACTTCGCTTGTTCTCATCCCAATGAGAAGAAAAAAAAAAAAAAATTTAGGTCTCTATAAATAGCTAGAAAATTGACCTAACTATTTAGTTTTAATATAGAAGCTTGTTTGGGTATCCCATAGACAATAGAAACTATAATTCAAGTGGCTTTTATGGTTTTCTCTTTACATGGACAATTCAATTCAAAATAGCCATGAATAACTTTTGAAGCAATGTATCATGAAATAGCAATAATACCAATTTACTCTAATTTATAGACTCCTGAAAGCTTAAAAAAGTTTGCCCAAAGCAAGTAATAGGGTATATTATCTATATGTGAAATACAAGGCAACTGATTTACAATGATCATCTCAAATTAAAAAAGAACAAAACAGCCCAAATGTACTCTTTAGTAAGTTTTTTTTTTTTTTTTAACTTTTCATGAGTTCTCTTAAATAGCTCACTGCTGCCAATTCCAAACTTTTGTCCAAATATGGGGATTTTCTTCTAGGGCTCACATCCTATGTATATTCCCCCCTCCCTTTTTAAGGAAAGTGATACTCTTACATGAGTTGATTCACCCAGACCTTCCCGATCCAAACAAGAACTCAGCACTTTTCCCTCTCAACTGTATTCAGAGGGTTAGCTTTCACCCCGATTGACTAAAAGCCTCCCTCTCCCAGAAAAGAAATGAAGAAAAAAAGACTACAAATAGGATAATGAGCTTTTCCACAGCTAGGAGGGATCTTAGAGGTGATCCCATTTTTGAAAACTATACAACCCTTTACGGAGAAAACTGAGAAACAATCACAAGACAAAAGCGCTCCCGCTGGGCCTCCCATTCCACCCACGGTGGGACTCTGGAGCAGACGCCAAGAAACCCGAGTGCTCCCTGGCAGAGCTTGAAAACAAATAATACAGTAAACCTCTTGCTATCTTGAGGGCCAAAATAAATAAGGTGCACAAGGCCAGTGAGCTAAGAGATGGCCGGAGGAGGCAGTCTTCCCTGATGCGAAGGACACAGCTTCTCAATGAACAAGGGGTGGCCTTCAGACCCCTCTTGTCAGCTCTCATCCCTCTCCTTGTTGTCAACACAGGGATTTCAGCGAGACTATCATCTTTCCCAGCAAAGTGGAGGTTTAAGTTCGGTTGTCTGTCTCATAGAAAGTTTAGGAAACTTTCAGAAAGGTAAAATTATTCAAGTCAGTGCTTGTTACTTTTCATTATTTCACTATTTCCCACCACTGTTACGATTGTGAGTTTCCAAATGGATAACAACTTCACAAGTAGTGGTAATTTGCTGGTTAGCAGAGTAGAAGAGAGGTAATGGGGACTGTATACATAGTTACTGGTGATACCCTGATGACTAGTTCTCCAATGAATGAGAGCGGCTACATGTCCCACAGATTTTAAGGGCTTATTCAGTTTCCAGATGAAGTTATTAAATTAATTTTAAACCCCACAAAATAAAAGTGCTTTAAAGAATGTGATGTTTACCTCTTTATTTTTTTAAAAAGATTTTATTTATTTATTTGACAGAGAGAGGGTGCGTGTTGCACACGCAGGGGGAGGGGCAAAGGGAAAAGCAGGCTCCCTGCTGAGCAGGGATTCCCAGGACCCTGGGATCATGACCTGAGCCGAAGGCAGATGCTTAACCGACTGAGCCACCCAGGCGCCCCATGTTTATCTCTTTAAAAACCCCCGTATGTTTATTTAGGTTGTGAGACTATTTAGTAATGTCAAAAATTTAAAAAGAAGAAAAAGAAGGCAGCCATGCCATTGTCATTTTAGTTAAAACACAACCAACTATCCAATTAAGAGGGTATTCCTGGACATTTTCCTGGAGTATTGACAGCAATTTTATACAAGCAAAACTCCATGGTATAGGAATTTGTCTCTAATGAATAAATTCCTTGATAATCTGCTCTTAAACTTAGGGATTTTTTGGTTGTCCTTATCAGAACTATGGACCTTAGATTATAATAGGCAGGCAATAATACTTAAATGAATGTAATGAGTGTGTGTTATTCGTGGGAACAACCACAAAGAAAGTTAACCTTGAAAAGATATTGCTTTCTTTTTTCTATTAATGGATTTGGTTGGGATTTTATACCAAATGACTACTCAGCAAAGCTTTTATTAAAACTACACCTCAAGGCCACACAGCCTATGTTTAAGGTTCCAAGGAAATAGCAAGAAAGAAGTCAAGGTCAAAAAGGGAAAAAAAAAAAAAAAGAAAAGAACAAGTCACAAAACAATAGAAGTATAATTAAACATGTGAAGATTAAAGATAAAATATTCTTTAGATCAAAAGAAAACATCAATAACAAAATGCAAAAATAAAACCAAAAATTGGTAGGAAAACAATCACACTGATTATCTTGAGAATGTATATAACCAAATATAATCACCTTTAAAATGTTATACAAATATAAGTTAGTAACTTACCTGGTAACCTTAATAAATTACAACCACCTTTTAAGTTGCGGGGAAAAAAGGATACTGGCATCATCTTTATTTGTTAAAAATTTATGTTCTTGGGTAAAAAAATTTATGTTTTTGGGGAAGCAGAAACAAATAGTATACAGTGTCTTTCTAGTTCTGAAACAATTGGAATTGGTAAAATCAGGAAACCATTGTCTAGGAGTCTCCATGGGAACAACGAGTAATAAAGCTGTACCCAACTCTTTCTTTTTTTTTTTTATAAACTTCTTTTTTTTTAAGATTTTATTTATTTATTTGACAGAGCGAGACACAGCGAGAGAAGGAACAAAAGTAGGGGGAGCTGCAGAGGGAGAGGGAGAAGCAGGCCTCCCGCGGAGCAGGGAGTCCGCTGTGGGGCTCGATCCCAGGACCCCGGGATCATGACCTGAGCCGAAGGCAGACGCTCAAAGACTGAGCCACCCAGGCGTCCCTACCCAACTCTTTCTTAAAAGTCTCTCTTTGGTCCCAGGGAACTGAATTATCCAACAAAGTGAAACTTATTACCTACAAGCACTAAGATAAGCACACACACACCCTACTTTTGATAAATTTTCCTATCAAACATAATTTAAACAATTCTTAAGGACTCAGGTGGCATCATTACATATAACACTAATACAACGGTAGCAAACCCTACTTACCTTATGTTATGAGAATAGAAACATGAATAGGATAGTTTCTGTCCTCAAGGATTTAACATTTCACTGGGGAAAAAAATGAGTGAAAAACTGTGATTTAAAAAAAAGTGTTCTGCTGTTTTTACTACATTAGATGTCCTAGCTTCCAGTGTGAGTCAAGAGCACAAGAATCTGAGGAAAGCTTAATAAAGGTACTATTTATAAAGTTGTGAGCAAGGTTCAGGAAACCCAATAAAAGGCTACTGGTGTACCCTGGAGCTAGCAACAATAGGAGCTGGCATTACCCCTAGATGTGAAGGAAGGAGGGAGGGTAGGGCAAAGTTTCCTGGAATCCAGAGAGCGCAGCTGTAGCCGCAGGCAGACAGTCACAGTCAACCCACGGTGGCAGG